GCCCCGCCCCGCCCTAGAGATGTTAGAGTGAATGCGACTACGACAAGGCGAGATAATATGCCTTCTCCAGTCCATCAGAGCCAGCATGCTTTTCGCTTTCCTCCGCGGCTCCGCGCCCTCCGCGCCGCCGGGCCCCACCTCCACCTCCCCGCGCCATTCGCTGTAGACTAGGGACGTACAGTACTGCTGCACACTGCTCCGAGTGCTGCGCTGGCGGCCCCCCGTCCACGCCGCGGTTCCATGGACACCTCGTGGAGCTCAAGAGCCCCACCAACAATTGGCCGCGGGCTCGACTCGCGCGGGCGGCGCGGCGACGGGGAGCCCAGGGGACCGCGAGGCGAGGGCGCCGCCGAGGGACGGAGGAAAAATACATCTTACCCAATCCACCTGATCCATAGAGAGAAACTCTCTGTGACCTGGTCGCGCGCCCTTTCATCGTTCATCGCAAACGAGTTTCTGCCCTGCCGCCGTACGTGTGTTCTGTGACCACTCAGAGTGTACTACATCGACATCGTGAGCAGGTCCACCACCACGGCCTCCAACCATCAGTCACGGGGTCCCGTGGAGATGGATGACTCGCCATGGGCGCCATGGGTGGCACGGCGAGCGAGTCCACTGGCGGCCCGTGTCACCACCGTGTCACCGCCAGCATGGTGGCCCCCGTCGTCCCCCCGCCCCGGCAGGCCTCTAGACCGTATACTGCTCTTGCACCGAAAGTGACTTTCTTAGACTCGAAAATTCAAGTTTGATCATGCTCAGGCTCCGAGAGATTTGCCGCAGAGTTGGTTGTTTTTGTTTTCGGAAGTGCCTGGCCCGGCACGGCCTCTCTAGCTAGCGGGCACAACGAGTGAACGGCTCACCATTATTGGGGCTTATGGTCTCATGGCCTGATGTCCGCGGGGCCGGCGGGGCCGGCGAGGCGGATAGAGGAGAGCCGGTCAGATTGTGGTCTCCTCTGCTGCTGCCTGCCTTTTCCCGCGGGTGTGTTCGCTGTTCTGTTCACGTGAGCCGCACGAGGTTCACAGGTCAATCAAATATCGTCCACTACTTATCGTGTCCACGTAGAAAGCACACTACACTCCCCCCCCCCCCCCTCCCAACCGCTTCGCCGGTTCGGTGGAGCCGTCAGCGCCGTCAGACTTATTCACCGTCGCTCAGTGTGGTTACGATGATGTCACGTCCGTGTCCTACAGGTGGGCGCAAAGTAAAGCTGCGGATTATTTTTCAGCCAAGAATATAGGACTCTTTCTACCGTTTTTTTTTTTTTTGAGGGGTCGCACTGTCAATCCCTCGCCCTCGTCAGTGCCGTGTCGGTGCTACAGCAGCCAGGCCTCGCGGGGCTGGGAGAGCCGCACCCCGTACGCGGCAGGCAGGGGGGCTGCCTACCTCACGGGAGGCGAGTCCCGAGTGCGAGTCGCGCAGCACAGCGCCGTGCGGGTAGGCCGCCCATCTCACCCCCCTCACATCACCCCGCCCACCTCACCCAGCTCACATCACCCCGCCCAACTAGCCGCACCTCCACCTCCAAACCAAACAGCTTGACCGCCACGATCGTTCTACACTGGAAAAGAGACAGATTTCTCCAACAAAATATTTTTTGTTATTTTGATATTCCTACAACTTTTCGAGTTTTGGGAATTTGCCAATGAACACCTAATCATTCGTATTAATCAAAAATATGTATAAGCATGAAATTGTGGTACAAAATAATTTATAGGCATTTCACCTAGCTGCCTTTTTTTATAATGTCCGAAAACTAGCCGACACACCTCGGTACTTGTGGACTCACCTTCTCGTGAGGAGGTGGCTGCTAGAGCGAGCGCCTAGAAGTAGTGACGCCGAGTGGCCGTCATCCTCGAAGGGGGAAGCACCACCGGCTCCCTGTTTGCACGAATAATGGCTCCGTGAGAACGGAAGAGAACTGGAGAGAAAAGAAAAACACGCTCTTACGGACTCACCGTCAGCAGGCAGCCCAGGGCGAGCACGGCGAGGCACCTGACGTCCATCGTGTGAAGCTAGTCGTCTATAGGCAGCGACCCGGCAGACGACGCGGTTTTATACCCGGGCCCAGGCCAGGGCCCGGGGCCGGCTCTGGACGGACCAGGTGGAACGGGGGGAGGATGGGGTGGCGCAGGAGCACAAGGAGAGGGGAACCGGCAGAACCTGGCAGCGCCACGGAGCCTGTCACGAAGCGACCCGGGCGCGACCCGGCGCGGCGGGGCGGCGGCGCCGAGGTGTGAGTGTGTGTGTGCAATGTGTCGCGGTACAGGCCGGCCCAAAAGCACGCGCACGAGCACCACGGCCGGGCGGCCAGCGACCGGGAGCCAGGCCTCCAGCAAGTGCGGCCAAAACAAGTTTGTTCCTACTGCCAACCATATGCCAACCTTATCTGCTTTTTGTACAATGCGGGGGGGGGGGGAGCAACCGGTGCCCCTTTTCTTCTCTATTGGGTTTATACAGGGTGGGTGTGGATGATCCGCGCCGTCCTTTTTTAGTGCTTGTACTGTACCGGATTCACGCGTGCGGACGGGTTGCATACTCGCACGGCGCCGGAAGGCATCCTGGCGAGCGACGGTAGGCAAGCCCGCCCGCACGCGTGAATCCGGTACAGTACAAGCACTAAAAAAGGACGGCGCTGATCACCCACCCTGTACGCCTTCTCCTCGTTGAGAAGCGGCGGGAGGAGGAGGCATCCTCGTCCTTTCGAGATAGTGGAAGTAGAACACCCTGGACTAAAAGCAAAGTACCAAAAGAGCGAATGTGTCCTTCCCCGAATGTACCCGTACCCGTGCCTGCTGCGCCGCGCTCCGGGATTAGGGGGAGGGGAGAGGGGGGAGTCAATCCAGACTGACTGGGTGTTGGCAAAGTTGTAATTTGTGACACGACCAGAAGCGCCCACACGGCTGCCGCTGTTGGTCCTTCCCCGGTGCAGGCTGCAGCAGGCCGACGGGGTCGACACGACGCCTCCCTACAAGCCGGGTGCAGCACATTACAGTGCTGCGAGCGTTACAGTGTTACAGTGCCGCGCACATTTATTATTATTAATAGGGTACTCCGGGGCTCGGCTAGACCGAAGGGAGAAAAACAGTAGGGGGCCAGTCAGTACCCCGCTCCTCGCCGCGCCCGACGATTTTTGTTCTTTTCCTTCCGGCCTAGCCGAGCCCCGATAAGTACCCTATTCTGGGAGTATACCGAGTATTATACACTCCTCCCCAATAAACAGTTTTCGGTCCTGTGCCCTCGGACTCGGGAGTGAGGTGAGCTCACGCATGGAGCTCAGTAGTGCTCAGGCGTACAAGTCTGTCTTCCCCCATCGGGTAAACACTCCACGCCCATCGCCCGAGCCATTCCGGACTCCGCCCGAGAACTACTGGGGTGGGTCAGCGACCCGTAGGACGCGTGGAAAATCCTCGGGCCTGACGCCTCCGATACCTGGCCACACTCACTTCAAGACCGTCCCCGGGTGAAATACGGCTTGAGAAAGAGCCACCCTCTCTCCCTCTCTATCTCTCAAGAATACAACCAATCTGTCTTCAACCGTCGTCGGGTGGAACCTGCACGCGATACAGATGGGCCGTCAACTTTTGGTCGAGCTCGAGCGGCAGGCCAGAGAAAAAGTGGCGGGAGGTCCAATCAAGAAGAACAAAAAAAGAAGGGGATGAAAAATTACACATTTTATTATCACATGGAAAGCAAAATGTAATGTCAACTGCATAATTCATTGTTAAGCTTGGAAAAAATCTTCCCGGAATATATGATGTTGTGGAACATCATACGGAAGTACCCTACTAAGCATTAGCTGAGGAAAGATAAACCAAGTGGGTAGCAAGGTAAGGATAACACTGTCGCCTCATCAAACACCCTAGCCAAAATCAGGCACACACTCGATAAGTTGATCATAAGACATACTGATAACTTGCTTGAAACAAAATTTAAAAAAATACATGAAAAAGAGGAAATTCTCATGAAAAATATGAGGTTGTAAACAAATGCAATACACAATTCATGCCAAAAAGAAGGCAAAGACCTAGCTGGTGTGTAAATAACTCAGCTCGATTCAAATCAACATTAAAGATGTACGAAAATATGTACTCACACTCACTGGAAAAATGTTAGATTTACAAAATCTTTATTGCTGACTGCTACTCATCCTATCACAAGCTGATTGCCTGAGACAACATAATAAAGAAACAAAGAGTGCATTAAATGCTTTACAAACATGGAACCAATTCATAGCAATGTGATAAAATAGGGACTAGATTTTCAGAAACTTAACTCTACCTATATTGTTTAGGTCTTAAAATGTGGTGCGACAACCACAAGACTAAAACTCAACAATTTCTTTAATTTTGAATACAATTAAAAAAAAATAGTTCCCATGTGAAATTGATTGAATATAAAAAGCTGTAAGCAAAGATTTGGACTTACAGATACAAAACATTTTAAGAATTAGGACTTACTTTATGTAACAAGTGGCATCACTCCTCAGATCATTGGAACAATTTCACATATCCCAAACCCAGCTACCAACACTTTTTTTTGAAAATCCATGGGAGGAGTACATTTACAGCTTTGTATTTTTGAAAGTACACAATCAACATTTGAGTAGAATATGTTAATAAATAGTCAAATGTGCAGCACAGTTTTATACAGCATTGGTGCAGTTTCCACATATGAGTACATGAAGAAACCCATAACTCATATGCAGCACAAAGTCATAAACAAGCTTGACATTATAAGCAATGCAATTGTGATGGTTAACGGGGCTCATCCCTTTCATTCCTGATTTCCGACTTTTCATTCTAGGTGAATGATACTAAACAATTGTTATCAGCTCCCTAAACACTCCAAACAACAAAAACGAAAAACAAGAATTTGACTTCAAGCAAATATAAACATGGTAGAAGAATTACCTCAGTCCAATTTTAAATTTCCAACTCAATTTGTAAAGTTTGTGTAAAATAATACGGTGACTTACTTGTCTCAGACTTCTGAGAGATCATTGCCCAGCACATTACTTTCGACTATTCCTACAATCTGTGTTCAGCTCATTCAGTTACCGGTTGCAAAATAACCAGGAGCTACATTTCAATTAAACCAGAGTACAGTACACACATACATCAAATTTGTGAAAATTCTTCTCTGTTCAAGAATTTAATGCAAACTAAACATCAACATATCAATACAGTTTTTCCCAACATCAATGACAAATTGAAAATCTCAAAACTTGGTCAGTTAATGAACTTTACAAGCAGATCTTACGCTAAAGAATTGAAGCCAGTTCAGGCACGATGCAAATAAGCTGTACTTAAAATTAGTTGCTTTCATATCTTTTACGGGGAAAATAGTTAAAGTTATATAAATTTTTATAGCACAACCATATATTCTCAAGTAACTTCTAAAACTGCTCAAAATGTACCCACATCTTTTTTTCACTTAGATTTAATTGTGCACTATACACTGTTATATGTGCTCAGACAAGCATTATACTTTCACATGTATGACTAGAATAGACAAGTACTTTTAGTAGAAACATTACAGCACTGCAATAGAGCAATAGAAATTAGGATCAGTAGCTCTCATCTCAAGACATCTTATTAGTTACACATTATAATCTATAGCTTTTTATGGCAGAATACTAATATCAATATTTCTTTAGAAAGTCTGTGTGATAAGAAAGGCAAATAATTACACTTCCAAAGATACATCATCAAGTTTAGAAATTCTCAAAACTATAAGAACTTTTCCATACGTTCCCTTAAGATAACAAACCAAAAGCAGTTGCCGGGGAAAACAGTTAATGCTTGTGACCGTATGAAAGATAGATATTTTTCGTGTTTTTTTTTAAAAGAATGAAATGACTTTAGCACTCAAATAAATTCATTTAAATAATTAAAATGCATTCACAACAAAGGTGATGTTTCATCTAAACCACAAAATATTCAAAACAATTTGAAAATTACCACATTTGCAATATACAACAACAATGAAGATTAAACAAAATAATATATTGAGATTACAAGCATGGCATAATGAAGCTTGGAATTCATATTGCTAAAATACTAATTAAAATAAATATCAGATGCAAGTAGTCTAGAGCACTGCTCCCAGACTAAAATAATTATCACTGAGAGGTGAAAAATGTCACAACAGAAACTATAAAAAGTGATTACAAAAATAAAAACAATAAAATAAAGTATCACATCCTACACTTGAGTCAGCTCTATTCCAGATCTTCTCCTTATCTCACATAACAACAAAAAGAAAATAAAGAAAGCTAGCACTTTTTAGAATGTACATGGGGAATGGTAAGCAAACCCTAACGAAGAACAGTCAAGTCTACCACATGTAAAATGGCGATTGGCACTCTTGGTGTTTCCAAGCATCTACAGCTGTCACTGTTCACCATGTGGATGCAAGCCGTTGGTGAACACAGTGACTAAAACACAAAATATTATTTGTGCTGGTTCCACTTTATACCTATTGGCGATGGAAGTGGTCCGAAAGATCAATTAACATCATTTACAACTGGTAAAAGAATGTCAGCACCAATATCATAGCAATATAAGCACTTAGGACATTCTACAGTGGCAGACAAGATGTCAGTTGGCACCAGCTGCAACATCTTGATTTCCTTGTGCACCTGCATTCTGCTGTTGGTGAATATGGTTATGCATTCCAGGAATAGCTCCATTGCCAGCATAGCCAGGCTCACGACGAGCTAGCTTTGATCTGTAACAAATATTTTAGATTAACTCTATAATTTATCAAACTAGCAAAATTTGCGAGTCCAATATGCATACCTGATTTGCCCAGCTAACAATGGGTTTATGGCATATAACCAATCATGCAATTCTCTGTCACTTAAAGTCTGCATGATAAAAGATCGGTGCTGAGTTGACATACTGTAAGAGAGGAAAAAGTTATAAAGACACTGTAACAAAAAATCATTCTAATGAACAAATTCACAGTGTTGGACAGCACCTGAACGAGTTAGGAATTTTAGCCCTCTGTTCCTCTGAAAAGTCAACTTGAGCCGTTGCAAGATTTATGAGAGTTCTCTCAACAGGATCTTTTTCATTACGGAAAATGAATACATAAGGTCGTCGAACAGCCTGAAAACAAGTAAGCTCTTGTTAAATAGATGAATCAAAACAACTAAAGATAAGCAGTTAGAATTTAGCACATACCACCCATCTCTTTTTCCAGCTTCCAGTGTTATGTTCCAGAATATTCAAATAGCCTTTGCGAGCAATGACAGGACTGATGCGAATCTCTTCCATCTCTGGTACATATAATACTAACTGATCTCGACATGGGGAGGAGGCTCCACTCGTAGGTGACTGAGCTTGCATACCATTCAAATAGAGACTGTCACTTGCTGAGCTGCAGTCAGCTCCTGGTAATGCTTTGCATGTTCTGTCTGGAGAAAACAATCTGTAAACCAGGCATATTAGTAATTTCTGAACTGTAATGCCAAGAGGAAATGTGAGCATCTCAATTCTTATATTCTTACTCTTGAGAGGGAGTTGACGTGAGGTAAGAGTTCATATCTGCTGGCTCATCTCCAGGTGATAGGTCGATTTTGGGCATAGGTAGATCCTAAAATTCAAAAAGAAGTATGAATTACCAATAGTGGTTTACCTGCTTCCTGCTTACAAACTTCTTTAATGAAGCAAACAGGTTTTAATGATAAATTATGTAATACATAACTAACATGGAGGATTAAATACAATTAAATACAATACCTTGCTTGGTATTCTTCCTTGAATCAACTTAACACATTTTGTAGTTAGTTCCCTTTCTTTGTCAGTCATCTCCCAAGGTTCATAGACTGATTCATCAGGACTTTTTAGCTTCACCGGGCTTGCATGGCCCTCAGCATTAGCTTTAGCTACCATATTACATACTTCCTACAAATGAGTCAATAAATCACAGATTAAATAGAAATATGAATAGAATAAAGCATAACATACTTTTAATGTTTCCATGCAGAACAAACCTTTTCAGATTTTGTAAAATCATGGATTCTTGGATGTGCTGGTTGAGCTCGATCAATTCCAAGTCTTTCACGCAGCAGCAGAAGGTGGCGCATTTTCTCCACTTCTTCTAGCCTTGTTAATTTTTCTAATTCCCACTGGTGGTCAAAAATTAGTGAATCACCTCTAGGCCTCCAGCCATGCAAATTCTCTTCACCCCTGACATAGGTCATGCTGGTGTCGAGCACACGGCGCTGTCTCCGTTGGACGCCTGCAATCAAGTAAAAACAACATTTAGTCTTTTTGCATCAATAAAGGCAAGATCTCGGATTATTGGATGAGAATGAATATTTTTCTCATGCACTAATGGAATTGACCTAGTGATTGACTAGTGATATATAATTTCAATTTTTTTTAATTTGCTGACCATGCTTCCTACTTCAGAAGGGATAGATATATCCTATTTTCTATCTAAATTTTTATCAAATATCATCAATTCAAAAAGATCTATGGAAATTTAGAGGAGCTAATAGCTACCATATATTGTATATAAGTCAAAACCTAAAACACAATCTACATATAAGGGGATCTAAGTCAGCAGACCTGTCAGAACTAAGGCACATAACACAAAATATCATGCAATCAACTAAATCAAAACCACTGTGCTGTGCACCATTAGATAACTGGATTTTGTATCTACTGCAACTATGTATACGAGCTATTTTACAATTTGAATCATGAGGAAAACAGTCAAGTTTCTTGAATCAAAGAACACTGCTAATTCTTAAAATAACAAGTTCTGCTCAAATATACAACATAAATGACATGCTTGTATGTTCTTTTTTTAACAGCACTTAACAACTTATTCAAAACCAGAACTTGCAGAACTTTTGACTGAGAACTAAATTTTAAATGAAAGTAATCCCACTTGAGTGAAGATAGACAGCAATTTGAAGGTAGATTCGTTGAGGTCCTGGCACAGGACTGTCAAATCAAAATTGTCATGGAGAGAAACACTCCTTTGTTTCCCAGAATAAAAACATCATCAGTAGAGACATCAGTAATTCAAATGGACAAAATAAGATAAATTCAAAATGACTAACACATTGCTGATCCGATATGTTACTATAAATACTATTGCCGCGCCTATGTAGGAAGAAAATGACGTAATAAATGTAATTTTTGAATTTTGCTCAGAAATTATTTCATCCAGTAGAAATTAAACAAGTGAAATATAGCTCCAAGTCATGCACAGGTAGCGTCTACGACTATGTCAATCTAATGCAACAAACCTGGGCTACCTGCATCAGAAGCTCTTCTCAGCAACAGTTCATAGACACCCGTCAGCCGATTTGCTTCGGAATTTCGGTAATTTCCCGTGAATAGGTGTTTCAACGACCTTGGTCCTGTACGAGCATCTCGCCCATAAATTACCATACTCAAATCTTTGGTGATTATAGCAGGTCTTCCACAGTTTTCCAGCTGAAACAAAAATATAACACTAGTAGAAACCTTCTTCTGATGTAATTGAAAAAAGGCAACCTGAATTAAATGTTCTTACCTCCATGTATGCAGATATAGTAAGGAATATATGTTCACCATAAGGAGTCACACGGTTTAACAAGGGAGAATTGTGTAAAGAGCTATCCCATGCTGCTTCAAAACGGAATACACAGCGATCTTCACCAGGCAGTTCCAGGTATTCTCCCGGGAACAATCCAAGAGAGAGTACAGAGCTATCACTATCTTCTTCTTCAGGTTCTGGTGTATTACGTATTCGCCCTAAAATGTTAGAAAAGGAAAGTGACAATTTAGCTGTAAGTTAAGACTCCACATATCAAGATAAATTTTCTGTGCTCTTACCAACAACAAGTTCTCTGACATCACGCCAACGAAGCTCATTTGCCATTTCATGGACAATTGTGACACGTATACGTCGCTGAATGCCTTGATGAAGGAGGAAAAGTCCGCGACAAGGGAGTTCATCGCTGTGATCAACTACTGTCGGCACATACTCACCATTGGGACCTATAAAATAAAACATTAGCCCATTTTGTTACTATCCTTTGTCAGAAGTTTCATACAGAACATACTACCAATCGACCAACACAGCAAAGAGACTCACCAAGTTCACATATCTCAAACCACACCAGTACATCATATTTAGAATGAATGTGACTGGTACAAGGTGCAGGTGTTATGCCATATTTTGTTGAACGGACAGGTGGACTAATAGGAATGGAAGGAGGCTGCATTCTTTTGGGAGGTACTCGTACACTGTTTCAGAAAGAAAAGAAAAAAAGAAGAAAAAATAGAAGAAGAAGGAGAAAAGAAAAGGAAAGGAAAAAAGAGGGAAGATTATTTTGATTGATTTTATCAATAATTTAATTTAATTTTAGGAGAGTTAAACAATGAATTGTCTAACTTACCCATGACTATCTTGTTTCGCATCTCGATGAAGAGGATGTTGCTGATAGTGACCAAATACTTCAAATACAAGTGGCTGGGTTTTAATGTAGTCCACGAACGATTTTGTTGTGCTTACAGTTATCTGTAGAATTATAGAAATTAAAGCCATAAGAAGACTTACCAAGATGAACCAGCATAGAAAAACAAGAAGGAAACTTACATTTTGAACATGGTAAAAACCAAGAGGAGCTCCTTTACCAGTATTCTTTACAGGTTCAGTTGAGAAAGCTTCATCATGCCGATGCAGGAAACTATCAAAATAAAAAACGTAATTTATTTCAAGAATTGCTTACAAAAGTCTCACCAAAGCACGTAATAAAACTTACTTGAACTGGCAAAAAATGTCTGCATATTCAGTGCTTATGCCAACAGCTTGTAAAATAGTTACTCGGAATGTAAATTCTTTGCCTACAAGTAGGTGGTCTGGTGTGCCATCATCTTTTGCTTCAGGTAGAAGTGTAGTTTCCACACCATTGTCACCATCTGTAGGTATCTCGGATATTTCTGACAAATGGGAAAGAAGTGTAAATAAAAATATTTACTGTTTGAAATATTGCAGTACTATATTGTAATTTCTGTACCTTCACTTCTGCCATCATGACCTTCAACAAAACGCTCCTCCAAGCGCTCTTTGGTATTTGCAAGGAATGCATTTTTGCTTTGGTAACGCTTTCCACTAACGATTAAATCATCATCAAAATTTATGCGAGCTGATTGTCTTACACCACTAGCATGTTCACTGCTTTCTTCATCTTCAAAACAGAATGAATTTGATTACTTTCAAAGCTTTGTACTTTTGAAAAGGCAATCAGATTGATTTAAAAGATCTTACCTATGACAGCCTGCACAGCAACTCTTAGGAAGCCTTTAACATCACCTTTCTCATTCACAATTGCAACTTTATGAATTAGAGGAACAGGATACATCAAATTGCTAAGATAAACAAATGCTCTGAAAAGAAAACGAAATTAGACACTTAGACCTGTATTCAAGAAAGGTAGGCTATCTTAACTTGTAACCTTGATGTCCAAAACATTTTTTTTTGCAAGGACCGAAATGTGGAAAGTTCACCTACCTTCCAACCATTCTAAACCAAGGAAATCTGTCGTAAAATGGATCTCCACCTGTGAGAGACTCAATGTTGTAGTCAGGAGAAGTGGGTGACAGCTCAGCTTCATTATGGTACATCTCTCTCATTAATTCAAGTCGTTGCCTACCAAAGAAAAACAAGACAAAAGTTTTAGAAATAGACACCGAATAATAACCACAGTATAACTGTAAAATGAGATTTGACTCCTTTCTCTGCTGTAAAAAGCAAGAAATCAAAATAGTCAAAGCTGGTACAAAGGAAGCAGTAGAGCAGACTGTCTAAATATGCAGCAGACTTGATGTGCACATCCTGGACAAAATACTGCAAGATACAAAAAACAAATTAAAAATGCATTGTGAATTTTGAAGCACTTGCATCACATTTTAATATGAAAATTTATCTGCAACTGCAAACAAGATAGTGCTGATATCTACATGCAAGTAATGTTAGAAACTGCCCTCTTGCAAATTTTAACCTGTAATTTCTCATAAGAAACTCATAAAATAAGAAAATAAGAAAGCATTACAGTAGTACTTAATCAGTAAACAGTAAATCTACCTTTTTACATTATCCAAAGAAGGCAAAATAAAAAATAAAATAAATAGAAACAAATATTTAGGGACAGACACTGCATAAGGACCAGTAGATTGAGTGAAGATATTGGTAACCAAAATGCAAAATTTTAAAGCAACAAGGATAATAAAAGTGCATTTTAATGGGGGTGAGTTTGTTTTTATTGTACTTGGGCTCTATACTAGCAGTATTGCTGTAAAACTCAGTTATACAACCATACTAGATTTGCTACATATGCTACACATGGTAGGTCGGAAGTTAAGGAGAGGTGATGAGTGGGATTGCATTTGTGAAGCGGAAAGCTGAGGCAAGACCATACACCAAAGGTAAGCCATACAGGACCAACCTCGATGGCAACAAGATGGATAAGGGCTTCTGATATGAACATGGTGAGAAGCATTGGAAAAAGTCTTCTTTGCCTTGATCAGGTGTGCCTGGGCTAAGATCTTCATTGTAAATTTGGCGCATCAGTTCCAATCGGAGTCTACAAGGTAAAACAATTTGACTTTACCTCTAGGAGGGGATAGACAAGGCAGGGCAGGCACAACATAACTCAACAGCAAGGATATGACTATTAAATCTTTTGCTTCAAGTTAAAACAGCTGCCACACTTGTTTCCAAAAGAAAAAATACAGCCATTAAAAATCAGGTATTCAGGATTGACCTACACAAGCATGTTTAAAAAAATTGTGTAGAACCACCTTCACCGTCCGCATGACAGCAACCAAATGCCAGGGCAAACAAGCGTGCCATTACCAGTGCAGGGAAACTATTGTGACAGGTTGGGACCTATAAGAAATGGGGAAAAAAAGACCACACAGGTGCTCAACACTGCAACAAATAGCTGCAACTACATTGTCCTGTTCTGAGCTTAAGCTGTGTTTTAAAGTGTTGGCAAACATACATAAAAATCAGACTCCTTACAAGTAAGTTGGGAAACTTAATACTGAAATGTAATCCAAGAGGAGATTTAGAAGTATTTAAACACATATTGGTCCAAAGTTCTCCTGAGCTCTGATAGCCGATTAAAATAAGCAAAATTAAAAATTGTCACTCCCTATTATTAAAGGCAAGTTATGCAGCACATAGTCAAAATAGCAGCTCAACTAGGTGTATTTGCTTTGCTCTTTAAAAACAAAACCATGCATTTCATTGTAGTTTTCAAATAAATGCAAGATACTTGCTCAGCTCTAAATAGGAATCATATTTAAGGTGACATTTTGAAAACTGATGGTTTATGTAATTTCATTTATATAGCAGAGATTATCAATCATGTGAATTACTGAAAGTACCCGGGACGAATGAAGTTTAGAATCTAAATTCCTTTACTACATAAACAGATACCTTAATTTGTCCAGTGTCCAGTAGTGGGTTGCACCATTCTTTGTATCAAGAACTTCAACAGCAACAACTGTTCTTGGGTATGGTCTTTCTTCATCATCATCATCAAGAAGAGCAGAAGGGAGTAGATCAGGGGGTAACGGAGAGTAAAGCGTGTCTGTCAGTAATGTAAACTGGAACTGCACCTGAAGAAACATAAAAAGAAGACAAGTGGATGGTTAAGCTTGCTTTCACAGATATCCAAGTAAGAAATAACTATATGATATGGAAAAGTGGATGGAATCTAACCTTCTTCTTCAGCTCAACCGAAATTGCATTTGCCTCTTTCAAGAAGACAGCATTACCCCAAAGATCATCACGTAGAGAGGTAAATTGATGATACTTCCATTTCCGGTAACCCCAAGCAGCAAGCTGGAACTCACGTTCAGTCCAGTTGCATTCTGCGTCAAACAAGGGGTTGACTGAAAATGCATACAAAGGTGAAGGTGTACATGTGAAATCACAAATACTACTTTGTAAAGGGGTGAGGTGAGGTTCAGAAGGATAGGTTTCTACAGCTAATATGATAACACACCAAAAATGTCTTCTTCAGCATTAAAATCCTCAGGAGTGTAAGAGCTGTACATAGACATAGTCATACTCTGTTCTTCAACTTGTTTCTGTAAAGCGTCAATACGAGCTTCATAATTCTGAAAAGAAAGAAGAAAACACCATTAACACACTGCAGATTTGTATGCTTTTTCACGAAGAAATCCACAGTTGCTTACTTTCCGTTGCTCCTCAAATATATTGTCTGCTTCCTGTTTCTCCTTGCGGAATTGTTCCTCAAGAGCCATCAACCGTTTATCCATTTCTGCCTTCAGATCAATACCTTGCTTTTCTAGCAGTTCTACTTGAGCGAAATCCCAATCTACAGTTTCATTGGCACTTGGAGTCTCAGCAGGTGAGATTTTGGCACTCTGCTGATTTCCTTGAGCTGGGACAAAGCGAGTATGAGATTAGTTCCTTGCCCATTCTGCATCTCTCCTTTACAGGTAGAAATTCAATGAGAAAGAGCGGCAGGGACACAGAAATATACACAAAGTATTAAATATATAAAACAAATGAAATTGTTCCAAAGACTTCACTTACGATCAAGCTCGTTTTCTGGTGGATCCAGTACACAAGATTTGCGCTGCTCCCTCACTGTAACATTGTTCAAGAAGAGAATGAGAAACAGTGAGACCTATTGCAGTAAAATGACAGTTGCATAACTTTTACAATAGAATATACCTTGGTCAGGGTGGTTAAACCGGAAGACATGATTCTTTCCTAAAATAACTCTAGAGCCGGTCCTCAGAACAATAGCTGTGTTAATTTCTCTTCCATTGACATAACAAAGAGCTTCGTTTTTAGGCCTCAGAGTCACTACACCATTCACATTTTCAAACACACAATGTTCACTTTGAATGAAGGATCCTGAGAGATGAATATCCTGTAAAAGTAAAATTCGGATGCATGAAGATCACATCTACCCTCATACACAGGCCTTAGACAAGGTAATGGGTGTCCAAAGTAAATAGTACCTGGGGTATATTAGCATCACAAGATCCAACACGAGTTACACCATCTTTAATGTAATATATGAGACATTCTGACATAAATGGGTCTTCATTCAGGTTCACCAAATGCGGAGTCTGTGGAAGAAAAATTAAATCATTGTTCCTACTGACACATTTTTTTAAACCAAAAAATAGATTTTAACATACCTTTTTAGGGGAAAAGACACCAACAGTTATTCCATCTTCTTTGACAGCCACTCCCATTTCTGCAAACACTGCTTCTCGCTGAAGACGAATTGCTTCTGTGCGTTTTAATTTCTCCTCCCATGTTTCATTTAACTCTGTGAAAAATATTGGCAAACGTTAAGGGCTACATTGAACATGGAACTTACTGTTGTGGTAGTTTTTTTTAAAAAACAACAAAATACTGCACACATTTAAATTGAGTGCATCTGAGATTTACCTGCTATCAATTTTTCACTTGCTTGCAGCTGATCAACTGCATCCTCAGCAATGCTGGAACCTGAAGTGATACGGGGACGTCCACCTTCAGACACCTTCATCCGCATACCTCCACCATCCTCTGAAAGAAAAAAGATAAGTTTTCAATTTTTAAACTGAAGAGCATTATCTTGACTTTGAAATTTTTTCCATGTGAACACCTCAAAACAAAAAATTATAGAACCCAAAGCTGTGATTAAAGGATAAAATGCTGGATGCACAAGCTAAATGGTATGAGGTAATACTTAAAATACTCTCAGATTCCTATCATGTTTAAGCTAGCTGAAGAACTTAGTAATGGCACCACAGATAACCCACTCAAAAAGCATTGAGTAAGGATGATGAAACTAATTTTGTGATGAACAGCAAGACCTAGAATTTGATTTAATTTCCTAATCAAACCTAGATATTGAATATTGAGAGCACATGCAGATGGAAGTTGCACCAGTTCCAGGTCCAGGTTATGAATTTAGCATGATAACAAAGATGGAGTAAAGCTGTTGCGGGAAAGAAGGTTCATACCAGGAGAAAAAAAGCTAGGGGGTACAAGATTCCAACAAGCCTGAAGAGGAAACAACCAATAACTATGAGATGCAAACAAGGAATGATTTTTGTCTGGAAACTTTGCACATGATTGTATGTTTTATATAAAAAACTGCCAAGGTTACTACACAGCTGTAGAAAACAAAACTTTGTTTTGCTACCATAAAGCTGGATGAAAATTATAAATCTTGGGAAAAATAGTATTATGGTTCTCCAAACCAATTCCAGAAGAGGAGGAAAACCAAAGCCATTTCAGCCAAAGCCACAGTCAATGAAAAGTATGACCAACGATGGCAAGTACTTTCAAAAATTCCCCAGCCAGTTACTTACTAGATGGATCTTTCTTTTCATAAAAAACTTTTCCGTCAGGCCCTGGGATGCATGTGGAATAGAATTGTAGGAGAAGTACACAGATTACAATAAGTAGGGGCCAGACTCTTAATCATTCTTACTCCAACACTTGAAGTAGATATATTTAAATGCACTCCATCCTAACACATTCATCTCATTTCTAATAGCCAAATAAATATTAAATTTGAGTAGAAAAATTTACAATGACCAAAGACTAAATATCTCCACTAGCTTAAAGTTTTCTGCTCCATCTAAAGAATCAACAACAACTAAATAAAAATGTACCTTCTTGGACTTCAATGCCTTCTTGTTTGAGTAGATCACGAAGCCTCTGTATCTCTTCCTTGAGTTCTCGAATGAGTTTAGCATTAGCATCCTCATTAACCACAGCTTTGCACACAATCTGTTTAGCACGATCAGCATATCTGCATTAAAATGAAAATGAAAGCCTTTAGTAAACAATCACACCCATAGGCAAAAATTATTCAGGAATACTGCAGGTAAGAACAAAGTACCTCAAAGTTGATAAAGTTTCATCATAATTAATGTCAGCTGGACTAATGGCTGCTATCATAGCTGTTTTTGAATTTCCACCAAGATTTTCTCTGAGAAGCCACGTCAGTACAGAATCTCTGTATGGAATAAAATCAGCTTTCTTCTTTTTCTTAGTGACCTAGAAAGTAGTGATGACAAGTTTCAATGAGATGTGGAAACATAATACAACAGGTAGTTAACATAGTAAACAAGTAACTAACATTCAGCTCGACTTACCGACTAATTGGGTTGACCGTGAAATGAGAAAGAAAAACGAAAAATTTTGATAAATTAGATTGTTGTAAATATATTTAGAATCATAATGCTTTAATAAAATATTGACTATAAAATATATGTTTTTAGATTTAAGTAAACGTACCACTTCAGCCAATGCTGATATGACTTTTCCCAAAGTTGTTAAAGATTTGTTGATGTTTGCACCTTCTTTCAAGCGGGTTCCTTTTGCTCCAGTAGAATCTGCTCTTTCAGACCCAGCCAAATCTACAAGGGATATTTTGCTGACTTTTTCTGTAGACAGGTTTGTCATTTCATCATGACGTAGCTGGGTGAATACAATTGTGAAAACAGCGTGGGAGCGACTTGATGTTTCATTCATGTTTGTGGCAGCAACAGTTCTAGTAATTTTTAAAATAGTGTTAACTATGATGTAACAAGAATTTTTATCAATAAAGTCAATTTACAAGAGGTTGCAAATCAATACCTGGCTTTATTCCCTTCATCGATCAGATCATGAATGTCTTGATAACTTGTCACTGCCAATTTGGAAAGATCTTCAACGTAGGGTCCAAGGAGTGGATGTTCACGAACCCGTAAATTTCCTTTATTTTTGGGATTAAGAAGGTCTCTTACACGTTCACAGTATATTTCCATGTAACTGACCTGTTAGAATTCATTATAATTAGTTATCAAAGAAATACAAACAAACACCCAACAGATTGACACATGTGCCGCAGACAAAAACTTTCCATTCTCACCTCCACTGAGTAATGAAGGGACTCGGAGGTGGTATCCTGAATACGAGTGAACAAATCTTGACAAATCTGGGGAATAATTCCCTCTTGCCCTTCCTCTTGTTTACCCATCATGGTGAATGATTTCCCTGCACCAGTTTGTCCATAGGCAAATATACAGACGTTGTAACCTGTAAAATTACAATTTAGCAAAGATTGGTACAGATCACTATCAGACATTATGTAATAAAGTGTAGGCTCTAAGAATCTACCTTCAAATGCATGTTCAAGCATTTCCTCTCCAATATCCTGGTAAACCATTTTCTGGGTTGCAAAACTAGGATCAGATTCCTGAATACAATAGAACGAACAGTGATTAAAGTATAGAAAAATAGGGCAATATGTTAAAAAATGTAATTCATATAAGAATTTAGATTGTATAAAACTTTCTACTTACATCAGTGTGTGACCAGTATGAATAGTCAAAGTTGAAGTTTTTGTTGGCATCATTAATTTTGGGATTGGAAATAGCTGAAGAGAAAAGTAACCAGTCAATGTTTGTCAAGAATTTAGATTATGAGACTGAATAAGAATACCGTGTAAATTATTAACTAGTGTATACATGTAAAACTTACTTGTAGTATTTCCAGTCATATCAATGATACATTTGCTCTCTCGGGCTATCTCCCTATTGTTAAAGGGTCGAACCCTAACTGCTACTTTGACGGACGACATTGTGGGGTCTGAAAATAATACATACAATTGAAAATATATCTAATTTGAAGGGAAATCAACAGCTGCTGTGAACATTGATTACTGCCCAAAATTTGACCATTGAGAAATTGTTGTGACTTTCATTACCTCTGGTTCTGAATCAAAATGTCAACTCAACTAAACAAATCAGGTCCTCGAGGTTATAATGGGCTTTGTGATTCATTGTTGTTGCAATAGTTTAGGAACGACAGATATCTCATTCGCCTCAGCAAGTGACAGAAGGTAATGAGGTTATGGCACCCATCAACAAAAACAACAAAGTAGCAGACGATGAATGGGAAGGACGTCATTGTTGCCATCATGACGAATTTGAAAAACGTAATTTCAACAAAAACAGTACATTAAGTTTCTGTACGCAGCCTCTCAACAAGAAACTTTTTCCTGTCAGTTTTTTTATTTTTATTTTCTATTTTGCAAAATTTCCCTTTTCACCGAGGGTGCTGTAAAATGGACACGGGTACACCGAGCATCCCC